GATATCCAAGATTTTAAAAGTCTTTTTCTCTTGGAGATCTCTGTTTCCCTCAGAGCATCCTCTGGTGTGCATGTTAACAGCATCATGTACTGATGCCAATAAAATATTGCAGGTTCAGATACAGCACAAGTTAGACCATGAGGCAAGCCACTAGGTTTACCTTTTTTCTCCCTTTTCTATTTCCTCTAAATGACTCTGTGCAGCCTAACACTGTGACATGAAAGTTCACATCTATCTTGCTAACCTCAAATTGACCACTCGTATCTCATTTTCATATAGTTAACACCTCACACATACTAACAATATCTAAAGCATCCTCAGCATAAGCACAGGTGGCATGTGACGTCAGAACTTAGTCTTTACAAGAGCAATTGGGGTCCCCAGAACTGTAACCAGTAAGAGTATTTTATTTCTTTAAACCAGCTGAGTATCATCAAAGGGAGAAATTACTTCAGGAGGTGCTCAGCAGTGGGCAGGATCAGCTCTCTAAAATGGAAACTCTGGCTTAACTGCTCTAACGACTACTTCCTCTCCACACTGCCATTGCAGTTATTGAAATTAGCATTTAATCACTCTTTTGGGAAACTTTGCAATTGTTTATTTAGATAACTGTCAAGTTCTCACCCCTTTTGCACTAAATTGCCTTAGGCAATTTGTGGTGCAAAACCATGTGTCACTAAGCATACTTGGAAATGCATTTTCTATTTGAATACCAGAAAGTAATAGAGGAGGCCCAACTGCAGAATTTAGGAGATTACAGGGATTTCTGTGAAAAACAAAGTCAGCCAAATGCCCTGAACTGCACTGCAAGAGAAAAGCAATTTAATTTTCTTCAGTCTTGGTCTGATTATGGAATGTACCCTATTTCTATCAGAAAACCTTGACGCTAAAAGAAAAAGAAACCAAACTTTGGGTTGCCTGCATCTGCTAATTCTGTAAATAAACAATGAAGTAATTGTTCACCTTAATTCCTGGCATACAACTGGCTGTCTGTATCTCTTGATCTTTTTAAACTGTGGGGGAGAAAACAACACTAATTTGGTGGTTTTATTGGAAGACAGTAAAAAGATTCTGTGTAGATAAAAAGATCCACACTTAACTCTGTATCTGAATTGTCTTATGCCTTTCAATTCTATTTTCATTAAACTAAACAGTAAGAAATAGCATAATTGCTTTGTTGCTACCACTGAATATATAACATGATTTCAGAAACCTTAGGCAGATGTGAATGACACTGTGAATCTCCTGACTCAGTCTTCTACTCAGGAGAGAGCAAGATAAATGTCTTATGGTCTCAGTAGCTATACCAGAATACAGAAAGATTCAAATTCATGTAGGATAAATTTGAGTGGGATCCAGAAACGTCTCTTTTTTTTTTTTTTTTTTTTTTTAATTGACATAGTCTGTTTTTCCCATGGCTATGTAAACTGTGATTTTCTAGAAACTGTCGCTGGCTGACATGAAATGTGAAATGTGAAAATGTGACATGAAAGTTCTGCATCTGATTTTTGTGAACCAACTTGCTGAACTAGTCTGCTTGCAGGATGTTCTTTTTGGATGCATAAACCACTAGGTACTTTTAAATGTCCTGCTTTAGGGCAGGCATTCTTCTTGGAATCAGGGTTGGGTTTTTTTCTGCACATTATTAAGCATGAAATTATTTATCTTGACGTGTGGTGAAGCAGTTTGCCTTACTACCAGTGAACAGAACTGCTTAAACATTCCCTGAAAACAACCACAAAAGGGGCACTTATGCAAATGAAGTGTATTCGTAAATCGTAATAGCTTTTGTGTTTTTATACAGCTGTAGAAAATATATGGATGGTACAAATCTGTAGAGTATCTTGATGTCCAGTGTTGAAGAGCATTTGCTTCAGGGAATAATATGAGTTAAAACAGTAGTTTCTATGTGCACCTTCAAAAGAGAGGAGGGAAAAAAAAAAAAAAGAAAAAAAAAGACGGTTTTTGGGCATGATGTTAGATCCCCAGATTTAGCAATATATGGAATCAAGAATAAAGCCTGTTTAAGTGAAGTGTGTCTTACAGGACACATGAAGTCTGTCCAGCTGTTTGTTTTCCTACAGTGTGGTCCTTATAACACAAGGAAGATATTTGATCTCATGGAAATCTCTTAATTTGACCTTAGAATCTGTGGTTTATGAATTAGTGCTTTATGGGAAGCAGCGTTTGAATGAGAGAAAGAGAAAAAGAAGGGGGGGGGGGGATAGAAATGGTGAATTATGTCACTGAGTGTCAGATTGGGATTGATTGAGACCTGATTAAAAAAATATTAAAATAATAATGATCTAGAGCCACTAGGTGTAAGATCTCTTATCTCTACTGCTGGGAGTGATTGCCCCACCAGATCTCTTGTAAGGTATGAATGCCTTCAGAGGTCCTGTGTCCAGCACCAGGTCCTCTGGCTTACCTGTTCCATCTTCAAATTCCTCACCTTCTTCTATGAGGGCTCTCAGCACTTCCATTTTCCTCCTGAGGCTCACAGTTGCTTGAGGTTTATTTTATATGGTAGTGAGGCAGTGAGGTTTATGTATTTCTACACCTTTGGGTGAGGCAAGATTGGGTGATGACTTTCTTTTTTAAAATGCTTTCTGCTTTTCACTTCTGTGAAGCCTTCAAAGACTCCGAGCACACTGTCTAAAGCCTGTAGACCCTTAAACACAATAAATTTAGGTGAATTTAAAGGAGATAATACCTGTTGTAAACCTTAAGAGTCATGTTCTCAAAGAGTAAATTTCCAGAATGTGTCGTAGAAAACACGTTATTTTTCTAAGCGTAATTACACCTGAAGGTGTTTTTCTTAAATATAAAAAACGTGACAGAGGACACCACAGTGGAAAATTCCTAGCCAAATTATTTAGATGCTGGCGTTCACACACAGGTGTGCTTTGTAACACATAGTGCTCCTGGCTCCTTGTCGAAAGAGCGAACATTTATGCCAGAACAGAAAGCCGCATAAAGCTGCTACGTCTGTGTGATGAACCCACCTTTTAAAAGACTTTTTAGAGACAAAAACAAAAAATCACGGGTGTCTCTTCACAGAGATTGGGTTGGACACTTGGAGGGAAAACCTTGTTCTGTACTTTCCTAAAGCAGTGTGAATTTTTCGTTTCCTTCCCTGTGCGCGGGGGCAGCGGTTAAAGCAGAGTTGCTCAGCCCGGTGAGCGCCTTGTCCGTTCAGGCTCTTACTGCACTTACACGATCCCCAAAGTCACCATCCGTAACTCCGCCCCAAAACCTCTTCATTCTCTTCTCTTCAGGTGACCTCTCAAGGAACTTTGGAGCTTCAGCAGCTCAGAGGCAAAAGCTCCAGGGAAGGTCACGGCTTTCCGGCAGGGCTTCACCGTGAGAGGCGTGGAAACCCCGCGGGCACCCCTACTCTCCACCTCCCTTGTGCCACGAAGGGACTCCCCTGGGAACGCTCTCCTTCGGCGGGCAGCCGGCTGGGCCGGGAGGAGCAGGGAGCCTTGCCGGCAGCTTGGGCGGATGGGACCGTCCATCCCTGCCCTCGGGCTCAAGTATTGCCAGGCTGAGAGGGGCTCCTCGGCCGAGGGAGAAAAGGGGAAGAAAAAGAAAACCACCCGCCGTTCCTCTGCCCCCCTCCCCAAACCGATTTGCTGACCTGGTGCAGGATCTCTCTCGATTTTACCCCCAGAGAGCTAGGAAATAACCATTATTTTTTTTTTGGGGGGGGGGGGGGGAGAAGAGAGTGATTCCCTCCCCCCCCCCCCCCCCCTTTAAATAAAAGAGCAGCCAAAAGCCGATCCTTGGTAAACTAGAGGCGAAAAGACGGCTCATCGCTTCTTCCGTTCTCCTAATGTGTGCCCTGAGCAAAGCGCAGGCTCCTGAGCACGGACAACAAAAATACCAGTGTATCTGCGGGAATAGGGGGAAGAAAAATACCCTCAGGGGAGGCACAATATGCGCCCGTGGTGCCTCATTCTACAACGTGGGCTTGTCATCGTTTTTATTAGCGGGAAAAATACATTTCGCTTTTAAAAGAGATGCTAAAGTCATGCAAAGGCGCGAAGTGCAATTGAGCTTTCCTGTTGATCTGTAAGAGCTGTTTTAAGTAAGGAAATTGACGAGTTTCATGGATGGTTTCAACTTGATTGTGTATGTGTGTAAATAATACACACCTGCGTACAAGCCCTGTGCATTCGTCCTCCGCAAAGCTGTTGTATGTGTGTTTATGCATAGACACAAAAAATTTTGGAGACGAACAAAGTCGAAATAAGTAACACCGTCCCACACTGAATAGTGCTGCGAACAGAACCGTTTAATAGTTAAACACAAAGATTTGGGATCTTTAAAGCAAGCCCTTTCATATTTTGCTGTTAAGAGTAACAGGCATCTCATCTCGCAAGAAGTGGTACGAACATTGAGTAGACGATGGAAATCGCTTAGGAAAAACAAAAGTAATGGGTGTGAAGAGATTCAAACGTATCACTAAGCTCGCCCATTTGTTTCCAAATATCAGGTTTAGAGACCCGGAAAGCCTCCTTAAAAATACCGAGCTCGTTGCGCAGGTCTTCTGAATCGGTGGGGTATCTCCAGATGTTAGAACTACGCAGTAACTGAAGGATTAACAATGGGGTGTTTTTTTACATGGGTAGCCTTCCCTGAATACATCCCTAACAAATATTTGTAGTAGCTCCCAAATTGTAATTTCGATCATTGTTAGATGTTTTAAGACTTTCAAAGTTGAGCGGGGTGACGAGGGGAGAAGATTTGAAGATTAATTAAATTTATAAACGGAATGGCTAGGCTGTTCACTTTTTCGGAAAGCTCTGAGGAAGAATCCTCATGAGGAAGGATTGTGCGGCACTGAATAAGGTCAGTACTGACATGAATAAGACAAGTATCTAACGGAAATCAACCAGGGGCTTGAAGGGCTCTGAGCGAGTCGCTGAGGAAAATGGAGCGTTCTCACTTCTCTAAACCGCATCAATTTAATCATTAAATGGAGGAGGGAGGCAGGGGAGAGCAGTTAGCTGCTTGTCCGCTGCCCTCCGGAGAGCCGGCAGGGCCGAAGAAGACAACGCGCGGTGCCCGCAGAAGAGCTTTGGTTCTTTAAGCTTTTTCTTAGAAAATGCATCAGCATGCGTCGCTAGCAGAAGCGGGACACGGAGTGCCCGGGGGTGAGTGGGGGGAGCTCTGGGGCAGAGGGACAGTGAAACACCTTCTCCAGCCTCCGGGCTCCCGGAGAGCACAGCCAACCTTGGGCGCTCGCTGCTGGCCAAGACTGCGGGACGACGGGACCTGCCGCGGAGACGGGGAAGCGGAGAGGGTCTCGGCGATCGAGGGGGGGAGAGAGGCAGGGAACGCTGCCAGGGGCTGCGGCGGGGACGCGGGGGTCGGATCAGCGCTCAGCCCCTTCCGCGGCCAGCCCGGCTACCTGGGCGGCGGCGGGAAGGGGCGGCGGGTGGCGGAGGAACCTGGCCACGGGTCCGTGGGGGCCCCCCGCCGCCACGTCGAGGGGGAGGCGGCCGCTGCCATCGGGCAGGTCGAGGCGCGCCCCTGCCCTGTGTAGCGCCGCCAGCGTCTCCAGGAAGCCGGCGCGGGCCGCGTCGTGCGCCGGGAAGCAGCCGGTGCGCGGGTCCGGGCGGTTGGGGTCGGCGCCGCGCTGCAGCAGCAGCTCCGCCACCCGCGGGCTGCCCAGCATCATCACCTGCGGGGAGAGACAGAGTTAGCGTCCCCCCTCAGCCCCGCGGAGAGCCGCAGAGAGCGGGGCGGCGGCGGGAGGGGGCTGGGAGGGGTTTTCTGTGCGAGAAACTCCTGTGTGTGCTACCGGTAGCTGCGACCTGCGTAAGTTCACACGGCTGTACTCGGTGATCCCTGTGGGCTCCTTTCAACGTGAGATATTGTGTTATTCTATGACAATTAAAATCAGCTGCAATGGCTGTGGTTTCCAGACTAGGTACTGCATTCGTGTATGTTCTGTGCCACGCTTTAGACCGTTTATTATGCCATGGTATATGCTATTATACGTTTATTATGGCATGGTGTTTGTGGCGTGTATGTATATACACACACATACATGTATGTACGCACATATATACACAGGAATATTTGTGTATATATAAGTACACAATAAGTATATTTTGTGTATACATATATTGTGTGTATACATATATAGATACACAATATATACACCATTTATAAAAAGTACCATTTATTATGCCATAAATAGTGCATGTGTACACTTTTTTATGTACGTATACACACACTATATGTATATATGTATGCACACCATGTATTCTGTGGCAGCCCTGAGGTGCCTTGTGTTAAACCTCCTGCTACTTGGGATGTGTCTCTGATTTTACCACTGAACTGCTCAGCAAGACTGGCCGGACAAAGCACTGACTGTACCGGCCCTTGGCTCTTTTTGGTGCTCAGTATAAATTTGCTCCCTCCTGAGTTCTGGTTTGAGCCGTTTGTCTTTCGCTCAGCTCTGGCTGAACTTGTGCTGTGGCTCGGAGAAGGGAGGAAAGCTGTTGAGCGGCCATGGGTAACACACAACTTTCCTGCTGAACCCTGATGCCACTCTGCAGCTGAACCAAAAGCAAGGTCTGATCATGCATAATTGAATATAGACAAAAAGAGCAAGCAAGCAAATAATAGCAGCAACAACAACAACAAAAACAGTTGGAGTTTTACTTCCCACATTCTCCTATTCATTTTTAATGGAATTTTAACCCCCATAAATTGAATCTTAGTAGTGTAGAAAATATCTTGAGATAATAGGTTTTCTCTCCTTTTCTTTTTCTTTTCTCTTTTTTTTTTTTCCGAGAGAATTTGGTTATGGACTACAAATATTTGTTCGGGGTTTTTTTTAATATAATAGAATAGCAAAAATGCTTATAAATTTCATAATTTATAAATTCCTGTAGAAGTTAAGTTTTTTTCAGAAAAAAAAAAAGAGCCCACAAGTCATAGTGGCAGCCATTTTGTGAAGTGTTGCTAAGGGAAACAGAACTTAATTTCATTCTGAAATGAGGGGAGGAAATTAAAAATCTGCAAACAGAACAGTTTGGAAATAACAATTCATTTTCATCTAGAACAGTGGGAATAAAACCAGTAACTTTCTCGGTACCTTTCTCAGTAACTTACTTTAGAAAATCCCATATAAAGTGCAAGGACCAAAATGGCTCTTAGTTTAGCTGGTGAATCATTAAATACATCACTTCAAATGACAACTCGAGAAAGCCTTTTAATGAAATGCACAACTCCAGTTTAAATTAAAGTACATTAATCGTTCTATTAGCATTTGAAAAGTTTAATATTAAGCATGTCGAGTAATACAACACACTTCTAGCTCTCAAAATGCCTGGAAAGCAACTCCTCTACACACTGGTACTTAGAATATCCATCTATCAGTAAATACTACCACTACTGATGAATAGTGAATATAAAAAATATTACTAATAACAGTGACTAGTAATATATACCTTTTTAATTTTCAAATTACAATTTCTACTCAGTGACAATTTCTATGCCGTCTTCTATGCCATTCTTTCACATGAATATACTAGTAAAGAGAACCACTTCGATTTTGTCTGGGGGAAAAGATCTATTAAGGCCATATTTACAACAAACAAGAAAAGTCGATAGAAGCACAGTCAGATCCCCGAACCCATCTGGAAGCAGACTTTGCAGCCCCACTTCTCCTTTTGAGTACTCACTAGATAATTCGTTCGCTCACAGAGGTGTCACTCTGAAGTCTATCCGGTACTTGCACGAGGGCGAGGATTCAGGCAAGCGCCCGCATTATTCAGGCAGCTGCCGCTGAGTCCGATTCGATAATAACAATAAGAATTTATCCGAAACCCGAAATTGACACACACCACCAGTATCATCTCCCCTCCTCCAACGCGGCAGAGAACAGCCCCCAGCCAGGGGTGCTCCGTACCTGGAGCGGGGTCCTTCCAAAGGAGTTCGTCGCGTTGGGATCCGCGCCCGCGTCCAGCAGCTTTCGCACCTCCTCGCGGTCTCCGCGAGCGGCGGCGCTGCACAGCCGGTCGCCGGAGCCGTCACCCCGGAGGGACGCCTCCATCTGCCCGTCGGCCCGAACCGCACAGCCGCTCCTGCCTGCCCGTCTCCTCCGGCCGGGACCTCGCCCTCCCGGCAAGATGCTCCTCCCCAGCAGCCGCCCCCAGAGGGGGCCCCTCAGGCCCCTCGACCCCCCCGGCGCAGGCTGCTCCCGGCCGGCGCTGTGGCGGAGGACCACGGGTACCGTGAGCCTGCTCAGTAAGCTGAGAGCCGACAGCAGCTCGAGACCTCTTCGGGGAACTGCGGTCTCCCCCCCCCCCCCCCACAGCGTGGGGCGGCTCTCGCTGGGGCTGCCCGCCCCAGGAGGTGCCGTCAATGGGGAAGGAGGCGGGGGATGGGGGCTGCGAGCCAACCTCCCCCCTCTTTGGGGGGGGCACGGACGGGGGGCGCAGCCCTACCGGCAAACGGCTTCTCCGGGCTGGCCGCAGCTGCCCCGGCCCGGGCAGGTGGGACTCTCCTCGCGGTTGTCTTGCGTAGGGCGGACGAGAGGGGAGGACACGGGATCAGAGCTTTCTTTGGGGCAAAGAGCCACACTTGTGTTATGGCTTATTCCTCCCCCTGACCTGCTCCGAGTCCCTCCGAGCGGTGGGCCTCGGGTCCGTCCCTCGGTCCCACCGCCGGCCGGGAGCCGGCGGCCCGGATAAGGAAGAGAGCCGTGCCCGCAGGAAGTCTGCGATCCACCTAACGGCACCCGGCAGAAGAGTATCGCCTAGTCCCGACCCTGCGGGAGCCTCTTGCGGGCAGAAAACCGCTGTGAGACCCGGCAGGGGTAAGGTACAGCTCCAGCCCGGCAGCCAGAGACTGGGCAGAGCCTCGCCTTGACCCTTGGAAGGTCCCGAAAAAACAAGCACCTCACTCCTCCCTCTGCTTTCCACCCTTCCACTCATACCTGCTGGACAAAGCGGCTCTGCTCTGCGAGCCCCAGGGGCTCCCCTCTGTCCCCTCCACAGCTTCCCCACTCCGTCGAAGGTAACGGGGACATCCCCCTTCCCCACCGCCCCGGGGCAGTGGGGTGAGCAAACACAGAAAATTCATGAAGGAAGTTTTTCAGGTTTGGGGTTTGTTTTCTCTCTCTTCTTTTTTTTTTTTTTTCTTTTTTCCCCTGTCCCAAGCCCCCCCCCCCCCCTTTTTTTTTTTTTCTTCCCAATGTCTCTTCCCTAATCTCCCTTTTTAATTGCAGGAACCGGTGTCATTGCCACAGATGCGGTACCTGCCGTTCGAACGCAAATTTATTCCCTTAGGCGTTAGCCTCGGGCACAAGAACAGCCCTGCCTAGAGAAAAGGGGAAAACCGTCGATTTTATATCTATATGTAGCAGCGGTCAAGAGGCAGAGGCATGAGGAGAACAAACACAAATTTATCCCCGTGTAGACAAGTCAGAGCTCCCCTGAAACTTCCTTGTTTTGGGTTTTCTGGGCCTCCCTCGCGAAGTTTCTGGGCCGAGTAGCTTTGCAAGAGCAGAACGAGACACCTGAAAGGGGCTGGGGCTTCTGCAGGGACCTGCGGTGGGCTCCAGTGGGTCATGGTTCTGATGCAGCACTTGGTGCAGTGCTCACCCCAGGGCTGGTGGGCTATCTGTATATATTTATAGTATATATACACACTATATATATGTGTATATACAATTATATATATATATATAAATTCCTTAAATAATGCTTAAAAGTGGATTTTGAAAAAGCCCGTAAAGTCTGAGAAGCTGAGAGGATCCTCCACCCAAGAGGCGAAATGTCCTTCTGTTTGTCATGTGCTCTCTGCTATTAATGATAGCCATGTGGAGATAAACCCAAGGAGAAAGCCTCCTCGGTTATGTCTGTCAGGTGTCTTAAAATTTCAGATCGATAGTGTGGTGCGGCAGGGTTGCATGTTATTGCTGGCTGATCCTGCTTTCTGTTCAATGGTATTGATAGTGGATTTTATTCGTCTGTTCATGTGTGCATAAAGATATGCATTCATATTTTTCTGTAAGTATATTGGTATAAAAATAGTATACACTCATAGGTCAATATATTTGTAAGTGAAGACGTTTCTAATGAGGCGTCAGAAGGCCTGTCTATATCTCCTGCTCTGCTAAAGTCTATAAAAAGCTACGAAATTGCAGAATGGCATTTAAAACCAAATACGGTCCTGTGGTAACGTTTACTGACCCTCCAAATCACTCGTCAAGCTCCTGAGCCATTAAAAAGACGCAATTTTAACTTATAATACTGAAGCCATACGAATTTCGCGCCGGGCCCCCCCCCCCCCCCCCAGCAAGTCCTGTTTTGCACAATTCTAGTACCAACAAACGACCTCAAATTAATCGAAACACAACAACACACGGTCATATCTGAAGTTAGGTAAATAATAACACAGCCTGTGCAAATGCATTTCGAAAAAGACCCTTGTATTACACTTTTAGGGGTAAGGAGGAGAAACGACCTTCTCTCCACAACATATATTTCTCCCCTCCCCCCCCCCAAAAAAAAAAGGAAAAAAAAAAGAAAATAAAAAATCTCGACCCTAGTTAAGCAGTCCCTATCCCAAATTTCTTCTCTTACTTACTTTTAAAGTCACTTTGACAGATACATTTTAGTCTTGCAAATGTTCTGAGATGCTTTGATAATAGTATACAGGACGGAAAAGGTTATTTTCAGCTACCAGAAACGTCCATCTTATGTCCTGCTTAAGATTCAGCAAGTACCAGCCTTTAAATGGGGGGCGACAAAACAAAACAAAACAAAACAACAAACCGAAAAAACCACCAAAACCCCCGTGTTTTAAGAAATACATTTATCTGAGTTATTTTATCACCTAACAAGTATTTCGGTAAAAAGTTTAGGGGTTCATTAAGTACTACAAAGAGACAAACTATAGAGAACATAATATTGGCATTCTCTCGCCTGTAAATAAACAAAAAAGGCTCACGAGTGGCACGGGTGGGGGGTGCGATGGAGAGGTTCGATGCAAGTAACCTGATTTACAGTTAAGGAGAGGGACAGTTGATAGGAGTTACTCTAAAAATGAAGTAAAAAAGATTAGTAGAAATAGTTCAACGGTATCCTTCTACTCTTCGGCTTAAAATGTCAGTATGTATTGCAAAAATAATTATCCTGCTTACACATATTGGGTAAGCATAGAAAAATCTAGCACCCTAATTTTAGACCTTTGGAAATTGTGCCATAAAGGTATCTTTTGAACATAAATATGCAGGGGGAAAGGAGGGGAGAGAGAGAAAAGAAAAAAAAAAAAGAAAAAGACAAGAAAGTAAAAGAAAAAAATAAAACCACACCCTCCTAAAAAAATAAAAATCAACAAGTTACAACAATGAAGAAAAATTACATCGGTTTCTGTTTCCCGAGTCATGTGAGACAAACTTCAGCAGAGTGCTTTCCAGAATGTAATATGCTGCCCTAAAAACATCTGTGAATATAGCCCTCGATATTTTTCCATTTTTGGTACAAACCCTCTAGAAAATTTCAGATGTGTATTATTCCAGTCCCTCGTTTTGAACTATGGAGTTATCGGGAAGTAAAACGACATAATAGCTCTGGATAATCACATAAAAGTTTACAAAAGGTAGGCATTCTCCAGGCAAAATATTCCCTTCTTGAAAAATAAAACCAACAGAGCAAACAACAAACCTAAACCAAATAGCAAAGTAAAGACAAGTAACAAGCACACAAAAGGCAAAGCAAAGAATCATTCTCACATCACCCTAAGAACTAAACAGTTTTAGATATTGCAAGAGCAATAAAACAATGTCACGACGTGGCCAGTGCTCTGTCAGGGTGAGCGGCTGCAGGATTGCCTCTATCAGCCAGTTTTTGACTGTCGGTGCCTGCCTGGGACCCGCTCGTGGTTCAGAAGCAGCATCGAGCGTGGACCCTGATTTAAAGAATTTCTCTCTCTTACACAGCTCGAGGAGTGTTAAATGTTATTTGTTCCATCTGTTTAATTAAACAATTTAATTTCGGACAAAGCTTGAGAATAGGACTCGTTTCCCTAAACAGAAAGTACGGGCAAAAAGACCAGTTTTCTCTTTATTTTCAGACTTATTTCCCTCCCCCCCCCCCCCCCGAAATAGATTTGCACCTAATCCGATTATGAAGCCTCCCTCTTCCTGTAAACTGTGGCCCGAAATATTATAATTCGGGGTTCACTGTCTCCGAGCTGCGAAAACATTTATGAATCACTTTTGTGACCCTAATTGCTGTTAACAGCCTATTAGTAGGAAGGAGTAGTTAGGCAAAAGGGAAAAACCTCATCTTTGTTTAAATTAAACACACACTCTGCCTTACCCGCCCCACGCTCTTCAGAATCAGATTTTCAGCCCATTTCAGTGAATATTTTAAACCTAACTGGCATTTTAGAAGAAATAGGTGCACCCGATGAAAAGTTCGGGGAAAAAAAAGGTGTGGAAACAGAAAAAGAAAAGGGGGTGGTGGGGGGGAAGTCAGTATTTACAGCAAGTGGCAAGTGTGGAAATAGAGAGCAGAAAAAAACTGCCACAATGCCTGAAGCATGAGAGGCTTTTCTCCTTGCTAAAGCAAATTTACTTGGAAATACTCAGCAGCTTCATATTTATGTTTCATTTTCGAGATTCATGCATTTCAGGTCAGACGGAGCTTATGGGGTTTTTTTCCCCCATTTAGTGTAACATGAAGAAATTAGGCCTACTAAAAAAAAAAAAAAGTACAAGAAACGAGGGATTGAAGGCAACAAGGAAGACTCGGTATTATTATTTTATATATACATATACAGACACAGACGTCTGTGTGCAAGTAGATCTCCCCACACTTGATATTCAAGAAGCGCTGAAAGTGATCTAACCAGAAACTGAAGCAGGCAAACTGTGAATTGCTTAATCTCCAGATCCCAAGTGCTATGGCTTGAAGGGTTTCATTTTTAAAAATATAAAACTATATATTCTACTTTTGTAGTTATTGTTAGGCAAATATTTCTGCATTCCTTCTCTTCTATGTCTGTTCCTCTCCAGTCTGTGCTCCGGATTAGGAGAGGACTCCTCTAAAAACCTCCTCCATGGATTTTGCAGAACAATCCTCAAATACTCATAAAGATGAATATGATATTTATATTTTAATTCTGCATCAAATTATATGTAATGAATGAGGCCTAAATTGCTCCGTGCACATCCTCAACAACCCTATTTTGCATTCTGCAGTCAGGAAAAAAGTCTCTAAAAAATTTCGGAGGCGTTTTAAAAACGGGTGTCTATGACTGTCCTTTATACGTGGATATTTAAATTACTTTTCTGACTCTGACCTTACTGTGCATATTTATATAACAGCAGGCGACGGCAAAGCAGGCCACTGTATTTCACTGTTATTTACAACAGTGTATAGGGTTACATACTCAGAACACAGTGGCCATTTTCTGTCTTCAAAGCAGTAGTTATGTTGCTTGTTCAGAAGGAACCGTCTGCAAATGTTGGTAAGGGGTGGTGGGTTTATTTTTTCTAAGTTAGCTACAGAGAAATCAAAAAGAAAAAAAAAAAACTTCTCGGAGCTGGGGGGGGGGGGAAGAAATAAGTTGCAGAAACTTTTCAAGAACCTTCCGGTTTCTATTGCGTTAAAAATAAAATAGAGACAGGAAAATAAAGGAGGAAAAGAAAGAATAATCCCCATGCCTATGCAGCACCTCAATTGTTCCCTGTGCAGAGTGGGCATGTGGGGCGCAGGGGACTCCGGCCAGGGCATCGCTCACCCCGGGGCGGCCTCCACGGCCTCTCTCTACCGCCGCCCCTTCGAGCCGCCCGCGACCATCACCCGCCCCCCCCCCTCCCCCCAGCTCTCTGCTCAGCTCCGTTCGTCGGGGCCCTACCTTGTCTGAGGCTCCCGCGGCACCGCCTCCACTGGGCCAGCAACCGGGCCAGCCGCCGGGCCAGCAACCGGGCCAGCCTCCGGGCCAGCCAGCTCCGCGCCGCATCCCCTCCGCCACCGCGGAGGATGCGGCAACACAGCGCCTGGGCCCGGCAGGGGCTGCGGGCGAGCCGAAAGCGGACAGTGCACCTTATCCGGCGGGTCATGGTAGCCGGGGAGCCCCCGGCGGGCTGCGCTCTAAATACCTCGGCGGCGGGGCCCCGCCGATGAATCGGAGATTCATTGGAGAAGATTTTCTTTCTTTTCTTTTTTTTTTTTTTTCTTTTTTTTCTTCCCCCCCCCCCCCCTTCTGTTTGACTAATTTCGACTAGCAATATCGCCTTACCTCCCCCTTCCCCCCCCAGCTCCTCCTCCTATGAGCTTAAACGCCTCCCATGATGATGGCTCCCGCCTCGAAAGCTGGCGAAGGAGGACTGGCAACAGGGGATGGGGGGGGGGGGGGGCCGCTGGCTCCTCTTCCCTCCCCGAGGAGCATCAGCACCGAACAGGCGTGGGGGACGGCCAATCGCAGGGCGCTCCCCCGCTTTCAAATAAAGCCTTGACGACATGTCCTTGCCCTCCCCCCCGTCAGTCCCCTCCAAACAGGCCGCCTCCCGCTCCGCTGAGGGAAGGGGGGGGGGCAGGAAATATTTTGGGTTTTTTTCGTGTCGTTTGGTTGGGTTTGGACTCCGCTGCCGGGCACTGCGGCGACCCCGCTCACCCCGACCCTTGCCCGTCCCCCCGGGGGAAGCGTTGGAGACCCGAAGGGGCGGCTAGCGGATCCCTGCCGCTTTAAAAGCGCAGGCCAGTATTGGCCCGGGCGAGCAGCTATTTCCTTGTCACATGGTCATTTGAACGCGACGCGGGGCCGTTGCGTAGAGGAGCGAAAAAAAAAAAAAAAAAAGAAAGGAAAGCAAAAAAAGCAAAAAAAGCGGATCTCGTCTGCCCCCCGGCCGGTAACCGAAACGGGTAATTAACTCTTTCCTCTCCCCTCACCTCCTCCCCGGCTCTGCCCCGCGCTGCCGCACCGCTTTGTTTTCGGTTTGAAGAGTGAGAGTTTAGAGCGGGCCGGGGAAAGCAGAGGAGGAGAGCTCAAAAGACCCGAGCAACCTGCCGGCGCTCCCCTCCCGGCCCGCTCCAGGCGCTGCCGCAGAAGGGGTGCAGAGCTCTCCCTCACCCCGAGGCCGAAGCTGACCTTCGCCGCAGTCCAGGAGCTGAGCGAGGCCCGCTACCCCTGTCTCCCCCTCCTCTCCGGCAGCCGCCTGCCTGCGCATCCACCTCCCAGGGTGAGGGTACTTCCATGTGAGGAGCGGGTAAGGGTGATGGGCTGGCGGGGATCGGTCCTGCGGGGGCATCTTCGCTCTCCACGGGTGAGGAGGGGTCTGGCGCGGCCCGGCACGGCCTGGAAAGCCTGGCACAATTGGATGCGGCTCGGCTCGAAGCGGAGGGACTGCGAGGGACAATCGGGGAAGTTAGCGGTGAGGGCAGGCAGCGCGGCGGTCCCCGGCAGGGCTGGTGGTATAGGCGTATGCAGAACCCCCCTCCCCCCCCCCCCCCCCCCCAACAAGCACCTTCTCCCGGCTGGACAAACGGCAACAGCACAGACGTCAACAGAAGTTTCCTTCTTCTGGCCTGGGTGCACAGTAACCCTAACAACAACGCTAATAAAAGAAGAGCCTGTAATAATTGCTCCTGGACCGAGTCCTATTTCCAGCCTGGGAGACACAGTGTCAGTGTAAACAGCCGTTTCGAAATTAAAGCTGATCTACGAGAGTTTTGGTGGTTTTTTTTTTCCCTTTTCCCGTCCCGTAGCGACTCCTCCCCGACAGAGGGAGGCAAACGGAGATAAATTAATGCCTGCTTGGCTGCATGATGCAGGTGCTGGAGTGGCCGTGGGAGGACGAACCGACAGATTTGGTAATAGAAGCCAAAATACCCACCAACGCTGAATGCATGGCCGAGACGGGCCCGAGGAACATCTCGTCGCCCGTAGGTCAACACACTGCTGCAGAGGGTTGTGTGTGTTGCGTGTTTGCTCGCATATATGCTCAATTACACCTGCAACATTAAAAATCAAAAGCGGCAGCTATCTGCCACTTTAAACGTAGCGCTTTTAGGGCTTTTCCGAAATGTATGTTGCTGCTGCTCAACAATTGCTAACAATTACTGTTACACATTTCAGGGAGGACTCCAAGCCCTGAAGCCGATGCTGCTGCCAGCAGAAAAGGTGCTTATAGAAGCAGGACAGCGTCGGGGAACCCCGTCCTCCCATGAGGTGAGTAGCCCCCAGTGAGGACCTCGCCCTGGCAGGGCCTCTGGTACTATAGCGTGAACTGGATTTATAGCAATTACTCATTTAGGCCTTCTAGGTTTTGAGGGCATATTCTGTTCATTTGGTGCAGTTATCCTAGGAAAGTCTGTTATTTCCCTTCAAGATATTATACATTCTTAGTATGACTATTGTTGTTTCATAAATTGTAATGGAAATATTAAAAAATTTAAATAGATTCTGGTTCTTCGAGAAAGCGAACCTTTAAAACAGGAATACTGGTCTAATTGAAGGTGGAAACACAGTTCATTAGACCCTTACCTGTGATCAGATTCTAGATTTGGCTCATCTCCGTGTCTGGTCCCAGCTCCATCCCAGTTCCTTCAGGCATGGGATGCAGGAGCTTGACTGCTGCATCCCTAGTGTTGTCCTTGGCTCAGTTATAGCTATGCCATGTACTAAGAATACAGTACAATTTAATAAGGTGTTATCGTCTCACAGTGTAATTTTATATATATTCTATTTAAATGTATGTATGAAATACATATCCTAAACATACTTATAATAAAAAAAAAATAGGGACTGAACATAATGTGATTTTTCCGATATTTTATATGCATATAATTAAACATCAGCGTATTACATAGAAGAAAAATGTATAGGTAAATACTCAGGCTCGATACATAATAATAAAGTATGTTGTATATACGCATATTATGCGTATTTTTATATAGGTATTACATAGACGTGTTACATAGATAAATGGCATACATATAAATAGTGTGCTAACTTATACGAAGTAATTATAAAGCAATTCTAAAGCACTATATAAACTAAACATAAAACAAGTGTGAAATTGCTGTAATAAATAACACGTTCTAATACATTACAAAAAGTGTATATATTACATTTAACTTCATTCAGCTCTCTGCAGGTAGCTCTGCAAAGTGCCCGGGATTTGCGCTGGAGAACGAGATCGGAGCTGTCCCGCTGCCCCGCGTTGCTTCCTCCGCCGCTCAGTCCCTCAGGCGCAGGACGAGTAAGCGCAGCCCCGGGAGCGCCCCGTCAGGCTGGCAGGGTCTCCCAGCCGTGCCCACTGCTGCCGGGGTTCTTACTGCAGCACAGCGGTGGGGTTGGGACCCGCCTCAGCGAAGCGGGTGTCCGTGTGGCAGAGGCTGGGCTGCGCAGCTGCTGTGCCGTGGGGTGCCGACTTCCAACTTCCCCTTGCCGGGACAGTCCGTAAGATACTAGTCAATTCCTACCGCCGCACCCCTTCCTCCTCCAGCGGGACCACTTGTTACAAAGGGGGTTTTGTTTCGCTACCAAACGTGCCGCCTTCGAGCAACTTGGGAAACCCTGAGGCCGGGCTTGGACGTATGATTTTTAGTTTTTTGTTTCACACTGCTTTCGTTTTGCAGCTGTTGTGATATCTTCAAAATACTGTGAAACCTACAGTATCTCGGGGAAAAATCACCTGCAAGTTGTTAAAACGCTTATTTATTCGAGCGAGGGCGGCATCGAGCTTGCAGAGACACAATTCTATTTTCTCCTTCCATGTCAGATGTTTACAACCTTCATGGGAAAAGCCATGGATGCACCACGGGCTCATGTACAGACATGTAGAGCATCTTACGTGGTTTTAAGAAGGTATTTGCCAAAGCCTCGATCACGCCAGGAAGTCTTAATTCCCCACTGTCCCGGCCGGTTTTGCTAGGGAGAGGCAGCGCCCCTTGAGTCCGATATAACTGAAGACTGACATCAAACGGGGAGCTGTCGGCTTGGGCCCGGAGCTTCTCCTGTCCCCTTCAAACGGAGGGCTGGGTCGTGAAAGCGGGGAACCCCGGGGAAGAAGGGTAAACAGAAAGACCAGACACGGTCCTGTCAAAACAGGAAGAGTTGAAGGATTTATTGTGACACCTCTGCGCGGTGGGATTCCTTCATATTTAGTTTTCTTCACCGTGTTTGGACTGTAGTGCAAGAAAAGAGGGGCGTGGAGGGCAGTGGAATTTCAAGTGCAGGATAACATTACAGACACGTGCAAGATGTAGTGTACAAAAGAAGAGATGTTCCGCCTGCCCCTCATACGTGGGGAAGTGCAATGGGAGGGTTATTTACAGCAAGTGGGTGCTACAAGACTTTATATCTCCCGAGGCGGACACGAGCAATAAATTAGGGCAGGGGGCGGCAAAGGAGGCCGTTAGGCGCGCGGCGGCGGGTGGCGGAGGAACCTGGCCACGGGTCCGTGCGGGCCCCCCGCCGCCACGTCGAGGGGGAGGCGGCCGCTGCCATCGGGCAGGTCGAGGCGCGCCCCTGCCCTGTGTAGCGCCGCCAGCGTCTCCAGGAAGCCGGAGCGGGCCGCGTCGTGCGCCGGGAAGCAGCCGGTGCGCGGGTCCGGGCGGTTGGGGTCGGCGCCGCGCTGCAGCAGCAGCTCCGCCACCCGCGGACTGCCCAGCATCATCACCTGCGGGGAGAGACAGAGTTAGCGTCCCCCCTCAGCCCTCACGCTCTCTCCCTCCGTCCCCCAAGAGCCGGGATCGCCCAAGGACAGGAGCGGGAAATCCGCAGATGAGGCCTACAGGTCAGCTCCGGAGGAGGCGTGAACGGCGGTGAGCACGGACCGGGAGGGAGCGTTGGGCAGTCGGGGGAAATACTCCTTCCCCTAGCGGGGAATAGGTGAGGCAGAGCTACGCTAGAGCCCCATCGAGGCCGGGGCGTGCAGGCCTGTACCGGGGCTGCTCTGCGACAAGCGCCTGCGGGGGAATGGCAGGCGCGGGGCAGAGGGACCGTCCTGCTGCCGGTGGCCACCGCGGGAACCGATGGCGAGTCCCGAGCTGCTCTGCAAGGGGAGCCGCTGAACCGTCCCGGTGGAGAGGCTCCCGCGGGATGCCTCAGTCCCCCCCTCGCTCTGGAAGCTCTTCCAGGAGGTGTTCGGCAAGGGGACACGCGTGTGGGGGGAACATGCCCTCTTTGAGGGACTGCGCCCGAGCTGCCCTCACCCTCAAGAGAGCCCCAGACCGCACCCTTAGCCTCAGCCTCCTGCCCAGTGCTGCATCAAAATGTTCCGGAGCCCTCCCCCCCGGGCTCGCCGTTCTCTAAAACGGAGCCTTCCGCAGTGCACCTGGCAGAGGGTCCAGCGCAGCAGCTAAATCCCTGCAGCACAAAGGTGCAGAAAAAAAACATGTCAGAGGACGGCATCAGGTACGTGTTTCGAGTGATATGCTGCTCCGACATTTTGTAGCAGAGAGTTTCGCAAGCGCTGGCCGTAAAACTTAAATATAGCTGCGCAGGTTATACCAGTTTCGTTGTATTTTGAAAATTTAAGAAG